GGGGGGGGGGAGTGGGATTTGAGTTTCTGATAGATGAAAATCACTGCCAGGTCTTCCCAGCTGGAACCGGAGCAGGCCCCAGGCCAGGGCCTGCCACCCTCTGGGCAGATATAAGAGCCAACGAGGGCCTGGAGCATGGCCAGGACAGAGATGCCAGCTACCCGCAGGGACACCAGGGTGTAGAGCTAAAGCTGCACCATTCAGATCTCCAGGTGGGCAGGGTCGGTTCTGGAAGTGGCCTCTCTCTGGGAGATCTGGGAAATGCGCTAAGGAAGTCATCGGGCTGGACAGGCCGGAGGAAGTCACCAGAAGCTTAGCTCCGCAGGGTGAGTACATTTCCATGGTTCCTGCGTTTCCCCACGAGCTCCTCCCCGCTATGAGTGACCAAGTGACTATCTGCCCCACAGGGGCCCAGGTGGAGGCTGAGTGGCCACTTGTCAGGAATTTGAGCCCTGGATCTCTCAAAGAGGCAGTGTGTGTGTGTGTGTGTGTGTGTGTGCATGTGGTGGTGAGGGGCATGGTAGCAAAAGCACTGTCATTTGTCCTGTGCTCACCAAACACCAGGCAATGTGGGTTAACTCACCAAATTGAGGTCAGAAGGATGGAACCTGGCTTAGCATCCCAGTTCTGGAGGTATTATCTTCATTGACTCTTACAAGAGCCCTGTGAGGTAGATATTTTACAGATGAGGAGACAGATGCACAGAGATGTTAAGTAACTTGCCCACAGACACACAGCAAGTAAGTGGCAAAACCAGGATTTGAACCCCCTGACTCCGGAGCCTGTGCTCTTAGTCTCCATGTTATACTATCATATGGCTGTGGTAAGTCTTTTCCACTTTCTGAGTGGCAGTTTCCTTATCTGTAGTTTGAGGGTGTAAAATTTTACCCTGAGACTCCCTAAAGGTACCTGGACATGGGTCAGCTTTAAGCATCAGGAAACCTTTTTGGAAACATTTGTCAAGAGCTATGCATATGCCCTTTCATCCAGCATTCAACTTTTGAAATTATCATAAAGGATTTTATCAGATTTATGAATAAGGAAGTTCATTACAGTTCTGCTGATTTCACAGAAAGTTAGAAGCCAACGAAACTTGAGGAATAAATGATGTACGTCCTGTGATGAAATAAAAATCATGTGTTCAGAGGGTACTGAACGTCCTTGGGAAACTCTCATTTGTTACATGGAAAAAGAACTTTATACAATATACATGGGGGGTGGGGTGGGGAGATTGACCAAATAATTTATGTGCATAGATGCATAACCCATGGACACGGACAATAC